CTTTACACACTACTAGACCTTCAGAATAATTTAAGCTTTACAGAAAACTCAGAGGAATACTCACAAAACCTTACAGAACACTCAATACTGACTCTTAGATTCTAGGACCACTCCAAACAATTGATGCCAAGCCGTCTACCAAAGGCTTCTTTATATAGACTTTTGTATCCGGACTTCAAGACCTCTTAAGTCCGCACTTGTGTCGGTGGACTTCAAAATGATTTAAGTTCGCATAGTTGTTAGTGGACTCCGTACAGTTGTATCACGTGAAAAGTAAAGATTCCTGAGATGTTTCCTAGATTCTTTTTAGCAACTTCTAGCTGGATACAGATGGAAGAATCCCATAGCAATCATCACCATTCAAATCGGCCATATCTTCTTCTTCTTCTTTTACTGAAGTGGAAGACGTGTTAATACGTTTCTTCTTCTTCTAATGCACTGAGGAGATGTTTCTTAATCTCTGCCTTGGATAATTTACGATTTTTCTTTTGTAGTGTTTTAACATAAGGAGATTCCATTTTAAGAGCAGGCTCATTTTTTGATACATTTAAGCACCAAAGTTTCTGGAAATGAGTGGGGTTGTATCATATTTATCCCTCTATTTGATATAGATTTGTCTTTGTAATTCAGGGATATAATCCCACCTTTCTATATCTTCACGAACTATATAAGTCCAGCTCATTATCCATGGAATTTCATATAATGAAATAAAATGAATATGCAAGTCCCTTTTAAGGGCATTTCTTGTAATCATAGAATCTTTTTTAGAAATCTTGTTATTCAGTCGGAAGGATGTCTGAATTAGATCTCCATATTAGAAACCAGATTTTGAACCAGTTAGCAAAATCCTTTAAGGCTTTCAGCCTAAATTATATAAACCAACTATGACCTTCCATTGGATTTTGATATGAAAATATCATAGCCTATGCTTTGATATAATCATAATAATGATAAGATTTTATCTTAAGGCTCTTATCTTTAAGATATTTTGGTTTTAAGGGGTCAAATCCCTACTCTCTATAAGAGATTATATTCAGTATTTAGATTTTTAAAAATGCCAGAATATTGCTATTATTCCTATAATTATGGGTTATTCAGTCTGACTTAGGTTCGGTCAATATTGCCTCAAAATAATTTCTGCATTTATCTCCCATATTAAGGTGCATATGATCTTTTAGATAAATTGTCGTTATTTTTACTGGCTTTTTAGCCACATGATTATCATCTATTATTATCATAGAGATAATGGATGTTTTGAGAAATGGTGTCCTTTGTTGAGTTTGAGAGTATGGAGTTTGAGTCCTGATCGGTTGAGGTGATATTTCAATATGATTTTGCAGTGTCCTTATTAAGAATGAGGATGGTGATGCCTTTGTTAGGATCTTATTTAGACTCAGAATTAGCCCCAAAGCCTTCTGATTCCTTTTGTCCCTGTAGAAATTCTTGAGTCAAAAGTCAGGCCAGGAATTTTGATCACCATTAATGTGTTCAATCTTAAAATCAAATGATGAAATAACAGTTTGCCATCTAGCAAAGATTGTTTAAAAACCAAATTGTTAACATCTTTTTCCAAAATATCTTTTGTGTCTTTACATTATGTTCTTATAACAAATTGTTGATTGATTAAATCACTCTCAAATTTGGTGATACAATGTAACAAGGCTAAAATTTCGTTCTTCACTGTTGAGTACTTTTGTTGTGCTAGTTTCCAAACACTAGAAGTGTATCTTATCAGTTGTTCTTTATCTTGAATTTTTTGTTTTAAAATCCCTCCATAACCTATTTTCCGAAGTGTCTGTTTCAACTATTTTATATGCTTTTGGATTGGCTATGGCTAAGCATGACAATTCTTGAGCTTTTAGCTTAATTTTCTGGACTGCTCTAGTATGCTCGATGGTCCAATTTGGGGGATTCTTCTTTAATATATGAGATATCAATCTACAATCTGCTGCTAAGTCTTTATAAAATTCTCCTCGATAATTTAGGCTTCGCAAAAACCTCTGTAGTTGTTTCTTATCTTTAATCTCATCTGGGAATTTATCTACAAATTGAATCGATCTTTCAATTGGGATTATAGCCCCTCGGTAGATATTATGGCCAAGGAATCTTACTTTTATTTGAAACAATTTTATTTTTTTGACAGATACTACCAAGCCCCCATCTTTTACTATTTTCAAGAAGAGGTTTAGGTGTTTCCAATGTTGCTCTATGGATTCAGAAAATACTAGGACATCATCTATATAGACAATAGTAAACCATGTATAAGGATTAAATATTTCATTCATTATATTTTGGAATTCTCAAGGGGCGTTTTTATGCCCAAATAGTAAAATATTCTATTCATAATGTCCAAATAGAACTGTGAAAGTTGTTTTATACCTATCCTGTTTACTAATGCGGATTTGTTAGTAGCTTGATTTCATATCAAATTTTAATAATATTATAACCCTGTATAGTCGGTTTAGTAAGTCATTTTTATTAGGAATCGGGTACCTAATCCATCTTAAGGCTTTACTCATAGGTTTATAATTAATTGCTAATCATGGAACTCTTCTTTCTAATTCATATGTTGTTTCTAGATAAAAGGCTGGGAAACTCCAAAGGGAATGACTTTTTCTAATAAGTCCTTTATCCAATAGCTCTTGATTTGCAAATCTCTAATAGTAATTTTTCATTTGAATAGGTCGAGCTTTTGTTGGGATTTGGTTTTCATTAAACCCAGGTTCGTATGGTAATTCTACCATATGTTTTTTCCTTCCCCATAATGCATTAGGAATTTCAGCACAAATCTCTTTTTCCAAAAGACTTTGAAAGGCTTGTATCTTTCTTCTTATTTTGGGAGTCTCTATTTTCTCTTCTATAATTTTATAACGCATGTCTTTCTTCAAAAAGAAAATGAATCTTTCTTTGGTTTGAATCTTGTTTTTAACATGATTTATTTCTTGAATTTGGGTGTTTTTCTATGAAGTCAAACTTGACTATGTGGCCTTCAATTTTTTATTGGATGTTTGTTTCATCCAATTTTGTTATATGATAAAGCATATTACGAAAAGGGGTTCCTAATATAACAGTTTCACTAAGATTTTTAATATTATGAATGGTACAATAAAACAAGCACCATTATTACACGCAGCTGCATTTGATAACTTATAATTTTTAACAATTTTATTACCATCAACTGTATTTAGAACCTGAGTTATCTTGCTAAAATATTTTGTTGGGACTAAACCCTCTTTGATACAATTTAAATCAGCTCCTGAGTCAATAAGGGTCATTGTTTGGAAACTAAATTCTTTGTTTACCACAATAGTAACAAGAGTATACCATCTTTGGGTTACTATTTTATCTATAACATTTACTATAGACACCTTGCTCGAAATTATGGCTAAGGGAACTCCAAAAAACCTTGATTTTAAGTCAAATGACTACAAAAACCTAGTAGACCATAGGCAACTTGGATCCAATATAATTGACCTAAAACTGCCCAAATCATATCCCAACTTAAACCAGATCCCGAGATCTTTCTAACAGTTTAATTTCAGTGAATTTTTTTTCCTAATTACAACTTCTATGCACTTGAAAAAAGTAATGTCTCAAGATTGAATAGAAACCATCATTTATTTAGAGGGTGAGATCCCCCCTATTAGAAAACTCAATTTTCAATTTTTTTTATTTTTTTGAGAATAATCATGTAGTGATGATTCCAAGGTGGTAATCAAAATTTTATATTGAAAAAATCCTCTTAAGCAGGTCGGGAGTAGAAGTAAAATATGCTATGGAGGGAGCATAGTATAGGTGTTCATAGAATTAGACATGTTTAGTGATCCATTTAACATGAACTTCAATATTGAGAAATAGAGCTTATGTCCATTTGAGAGAGAGAGAGTTCTAACGACTAATGTCCATTTTCAACAACCACTTTCCTCAGATACAAAGCAGACCCTTGCGATCGAATATGGGTGCCATTCACCGTCAAAGACTGGACCAACCTCAATACTAAAGCATCCATCGTGAACTCCGATGACGAATTCCAGCCGCCTGTTGAGGTCATGCAAACAGCAGCAATACCCTCGAACCCGAATGGCAGCATACTGCTCGGTTGCCGGCCCCCCTCATGGGATCCCGAGTCTCCCTTTTACTTCTACTTCTTCTTCGCCGAAATGCGGAACAGGCGCAATTTGTCCCGGGAGGTAAACATATATATAAATGGAGATCTATGGAGCAAGATAATCAGAGCATCTCGCTTTGTGAGATGGGTGGGCACCATTCTTCCGGAGAGGCGGTCCCAAGATTATCAGATTGATATCAGGGCAACTGAGACATCAGACCTCCCTCCCATTCTAAACGCACTCGAGCTTTATGTGGCCAATGTGGCCTCTCACCATGCAACGGACGCTCGAGATGGTGCGTAGCTGCAGCCCACTAGCATATAATGCAAATGTGAATCATGGAGGAGATTCGTGGATGAATCTTTTTCTTTTCTTTTCTTTTTTTTTCTTTTTTTTCTTCTTCTTGCTGTTTGCTTTGCATATTTTATTTCATTTAGATACCTCCCTCCTTAGAAAAAAAGGTAAAAAGTGATCAAATTGCTCTTATTTAAAATTTAGAACCTCCTAAAAGTTGAAACATTTCAGTAATTTAACTTCACATGATGTTTTGAAACAAAATTATCAAAATGCCCCTGATTGTTCAGGGTAACAAAATTATCAAAATGCCCCTGATTGTTCAAGATCAGCAAAATGGGGCAAGGGCATAAAATTAGAAAGATGAGTTTCATATTTCTAACCTTGAAAAGCTACAGGTATATTTGTCAATTGTCCATGAATATTTTGTCATTTTAGTTGAAAGACTAAGTGAGGTAAATTACTAAAACCACCCCATTAGCTCAATGTTCCCGGTAGGGCAATTGAGTCATTTTAACCATGTTTTTAATGGAGATACTTGAATGAAATGAAATTCAAAACGCAATACATCAAATTAGATGATTTGGCAACCTTCACAATTTTAAAGTGATTTGACCCATTAATTAATACTTTAGTAGTTCCCTTGATTCTTTACCCAGGCAGTGGAAGTTAGAACAAAAAGCGCCTTCCAACTAGGCTACGCCCCTCCACTCGAGCACATACACGCACACACAAAAGAAATTGATTCTTTATTGAACTGATTTTAACTGTGGCATTTTTCAGTTGCTGTGTTGTTAGATATGAAAGATAAACTAGCATTGAAGAATAAGAGTTGGGTTGGGGATCCATGTCTTCCTCAAGGTTACCCATGGGAGGCCTTGACCTGCAATGAGGCACTAAACCCCCGAATTATATCTTTGTATGCAAACCCGTTTATTGCTTCATGTTTTCTTCATTAACATATTTGAAAAAAATAAAAACAGAGGCAATTAATTCACTTTATCTGTAGGGACCTCTCGGCAAGTGGACTCCAAGGAGAAATTCCGGCTTCCATTGCCAGCCTCAATGCACACGAGTCATTGTAAGTAACCGTTCACATGGATACTCAATTATGTAGTTGAAGAATAAGAACCTATACTCACGCAAAAGCACATACATGCACATAGCAAAAAGAATTTTTGTTTCTGAGGAATTTAGTTCCAAACTATGAGAGAACATGGATCAATTCTGGTGCAGCAGTCCTGGGGGAGAAAAAAAGCTTCCAAAAGTCATGAAAAACCTTGATAAATCAGTAAAACATCCTTATGTTCTATGACAAAAGAAAAAAAAATAAAAGAATTGAAATTTGAAATAATACTCAGAAACAAGAAAAAACCAAGCTTTAAAATGTAATCTAATATACATAAACAATATGAGATCATCCTCATAGATATGGATTATCACTATCCCATTTACAACCACAAGTTTCATCCCCAAAGAACTACCGAAGAACGAAACTCATGCCATTCAGAAATGTGACACATCAGATGTATGGCTGGAAGGGGCACAATGGGGGAGACCAACATTGCAAGGAAAGTGCTCATACCACAATTAAAAGTAAATTAAAAAAATAATGGAATGCGATTCAAATTTCAAACCTATATGGTATTTTGGAAGGCCAGCACAAGGTCCGTCTGGCGGTCTATGGTTAGTGTAGGATCCTACTATGGTGAGAGGGTCTAATTTGTAATGGGTGAGAGATCAATCTCTGTTGATCCCATGTATGAGAAGGTTTGCAATTTTACTGGTACCATGAATTGATTGACATCCCCGAGAATTCACTTCACATGGTCCCACAATGGTTCCCCTACTTTTAAGACAATGAAAGCTGGATGGACTTTTAATTTTACCTTCTGTGAAGTCAATACTTCTTGAAATAATCTCAATACATATGCCAAAATTATCTTCAAACAGTACTCCAATTTTGCTAGAATCAGAGGGAACAATTTTTGGATGGCCCTTGATGAAGGCATTGAGCTGGTATGGGTATTAGTTATCAGATAAGTTAATCGGTGCTCAAACAGAGAATGATGCAATGGAGGAGAGACACAAATGGAGATATTAGAAATTAGACAAGATAGGACAAAATCAAAATGGTTTGAAAGGAATGAAGCCAAGAAAGGGTATAGGTTAGGGCAAAAATGCATGATTGAATGAGGTTGGAGAAATATATTGGAGCTAAAGATCAAGAATTAAATGATTAAAATAGGGGGACCTAAATATAAGATTTTTTTCGCTCGATAGGCAATGCGAGGAGGAGGACCAAAGTATTGAAGGAATTAAAATTCAAGAAATGGTATCAATACAATCCAAGAGCTAGACAAAGCACTAATAGAATTTCTTCAAGGACTTTTGGCTTAAGCAACACTTCAAAAAGGAAGAAACGAATAAAACCAATTTTTGGTTCAGCATATGGTTAAATAGTCTTTCCCATGGCTTTGTTTTGCCATTTTTGGGAGGAGATAGACAAGAGTTTTGCAACATGAAATACCAGATTCATAGCTTTGGTCTTAAAGGAAATTGTTGTTGAAACACTACATGGTATTAGACCAAATTAGCTTATTCATAAGTCGATCCAAGACAATGACAAAAAATTTGGCATGAGACTAAAAGAGGTGCACTCCTTAGTGGTTTCAAGACCACATTCGGCTTTCATTTAAAGGTAGACAAAAAGCAGACAATTATTGATTGCGTAGGATTGTATTCATTCCATAAACTTAGTAAATACGCCTCATTTTATATGTAAGCTTCATCTCGAAAAGCCTATGATTTGGTGATTGGGAATTTCCTTTTGGAATTATCTCAAGATGGAACTCAATGCAAGATGGTGACTTAGGATCATGGGATGCTTCTCTACTGCACATTTTTCAGTAACCATTAATGTTCGAACTACATGTTTCTCTAATGCATCTAGAGGAAATAGATGAGGATCTCCTTTCTTATTTACATTGATTGTTAAATCTTTTAGTCTAATGTTAGGCCATTATTGTTGGGATCTAGAGCAGTTGATTATGAAAGGCTAGAAGATCCATACAGTTGGGAGTGTTGTCCATACAGCATATATGTTAGGGAGCAAGATCTCAATTTTTTTAGGATCTTGCTCCCAACTTCAAAAATTATATAATACGAGGACTATATATACTCTTTAGATTGGGGATCTCTTTATGTACAGCAAGTAAGGAGTGAAACTATATTAATTGTATAATTGCATTTCTAGTTGGTTATAAATAATGAAAAAAATCAATTTGGTTGTTATCTTAATCTTTAAGGTGGGGATTGAGATACCTAATAGTGGGGATCGAGATCCCGAAATTTAAAAATTAAGATCTCTTGAAGATCTCTTTCTTGGGGCACTAGACTGAAATTCTAGAAGGGGATGCCCTCCTACGTAGGGAGATTTCATTAACCATGTGCTGGTTCGAGTACATGCTGCTGGTTTTATCTCAGTTTTCAAGATTGCGAAATCAAGGGCAACCAATTACTTACTTACAGTACTTGAAGACCTTTCTCAACCTATTGATGAGTGTCACAGAATATCGATATCTTATCTGCCAAATGGAGTTGAGAGCCTGTAATGCAATCTATTGTCAACTACATTGACAATAAGACAGATGAATGTCTTTGAGATGAGGATAAACAAGAAGGGAAAAAGTGGGTCTCCTTGCTTGAAGTCCATTAAAACACCAAAGAAGTCCCCCTAAGGATCCATAGTCCTTACAAGAACAGTTGTCATGGATGCTAACCCTATCATACGTCTCCTCCACAAGTCCCAAATTTCATAGGAGGTGATCAAAGACTCAAATATCCAATAGTCTTAGTGGTCATAGGACTTAACCATGTTTTAACTTCACAAACCATCCTCAGCATTCCAGTTGTTGGGTGTACTTTTAGTCACACACAAGACTAGATACATTCTAACCAACGTTGGATAGGGATTGAGATGATCATAACACAAGGGTACTAATGCACATTAGATAAATGCCTTAATAATGGATGAGCTTGATAATATTAAAACCTTGAAGATATGCATTGGGTTAATTATGCTTCTAGTCATCATATGAGGCTAAGTGTATTCTAATTAACGCTTGATAAAGGTATTAACAAAAGTGTGAGTTTTATAACAAATGCTCGATAAGATGTCTTAACGGACACTAGATAAAAGACATAAGTTCGACAAGCTTAGCATTTGAAGATATATATTGGATGGTGAACATGTTCTTAGTCACTATTTAAGATTAAGTGTGTTCTAATGACCGCTTGATAGACTAAAGATGTCAAATATATATTGAAATATGTAATGCACGCTGGATAACTATCTTAACAGACGATTGATAAGAAATGAGCATGGTTCTTGATAACATCTGCTCAGATATACCCCATGATATGAAGATATGAAGCATATGATGTGCCCAAGATTCATTATGCCTTCGGAGCCTTGACTCGTCAGTCAGCCCTTATATGTCCTGACTTACGATCGATAAAAGATATGATGCCAACAGATTGTCAATTAAGCATGTTCAAGTTTAACTTACAGTTGATGATAGAAGATATGAAAGCCATCTCATTGTGAGACAAGTTCTAGGATACATATCCTCCTAAGGCCCCGATATGCCTATATATGTGATATGTGGAGGAACCTAATGCAGTTTGATACATATACTCCCATGGTTCATAGATGCCTCTCCATTGGATATTGAAGGAGTTTTGGGTGAGATGTGATGACTCTTTTAACCTGTCAGTTAAGCATATAGGGCTTAACAGACGTGGTATAAGGAAAACTTCGTCTTATGATGATATAATGAGGTTTGTCCTTGAGGTCTTATATGCCTCTAAGTCTAAGAATGATACAAATTGGGTAATATATGGACTTGGCTTAACCATATCCACCGTCAGTTAAGATATGCCTTAACCGATATTCTAAAACTTGATGTTTTGAGACTGAGCTGAGACTCTCCGGGGCTTGTGTTCGAGGCATCATAGCCTTCACCCCGATGTTTATTATCACCTGGATGTGAATTCACTCATCATCTGTATCCCCCGACAGTTAGAGCCTTAAATTCTTTATACTCCGTTACATCCAGGATGACACCCGGTCATCAAAATTGGGATTTCTCTTTTAATAAGAGGAATTTCCTTATGAGACCAAGACCATTGGATTCTTGACTCAATCCTTATCACATTTAAAAGGTGTGACATTATCTAATATATGAATTGAAAGCGTTTGCATCTGCAATATACTAGTCTTGTTGATACAATTTTCAACAAAAACGCTGTGACTTGAATGGATGAGATCTCTCTCTTTTTTTATCCATTTTAAGCGATACTTGAACCATTGTGTTTGTCTTTGAGTCCTCTTTCATATCGCCAAATTTCATGTTCAAAAGATTTTTATTGAGAAGCGACTAAGGAAATATGAAGATGTGTCAGACTGTAGTTGCAGAAGCTTAAATGTAGGGCGATGAGAAGCAACAAAATCCTGATTTTTGTCACATGATGATCTCATTGGATCTCGAATCTGAAAATTCAAATTCGATTGTTTTAAGGACGATTATTAACTGAAACACATGATTATCATTGCATTTTAAATCAATGAAATTATCAAGATGAGCAGCATGGTCATCCGCCTGAGATTTAGTGCTTAGTTATCAATATTACGATTCAACATATGAAGATAAAAGATAAGTATCAAATAAAGATGAAGGATGCAGATTAAAAGATCATGAGTTCGTGAATATCAATTAAACATATAAACCCATCTCTCGATTAGAGAGGGGTTTGCATATTTTGGAAGTTCGCTTTTGTTAAGTTGACTTTAGAGAGGTTCACTTATCTTGAGTTTACTCCTATGAGAGTTAGAGGGTGAGTGAAATCCACAAGACATGAAAGAGACAGTTCCCATACATGATTGTTCCCCGACTGTGACTAATACACAGAGCAGGAAAGAGACAATTTCCATACATGACTGTACTCTGAGCATGACTGATATCTATAGAGAGAAGTTCATTTTATTTTCCATGATCCATTTGGAGCCCGTTCTTGTAGGAGGATCAGAATTGAGGATTAATATCCTTGCGTTTCAACTCAGGTATACGAGTTTATATGCTCTCTTGAATACGAGTTTATATGCTCTCTTGACAATTATTTTTTATGCGTCAGTATATTTTCTCCCTTAAAAAGCGAATGTCTAGGTTTCAAGACCTATGTCTAGGTTTCAAGACCTGAATCAAGGGTATTCCACCTATTTTCCTTTTCTTTGGCTGATGTAAATTGTAACAAAAGATTAAACCTCTAGAATTGTTTTGTTCCCAGTGTATGATATCACGGGTGAATTTGGCCCCGAATGTGATGTTCTCTAGTTAATTGCTTGGAGTCTAATGTTTATTTAAGCATTTTAAGTCATTTAAAAAATATTGTATTTTTTGGAGCATCCACCAGCATCCATCTACCTTTCACTTTTAAACACTTATATGAGGGAACATAAGAATCCTAGAACTTCCTTTACACTTCATTACAATAATATTCACAGAGAGCTTTTAAACACTACCAACCAAGTTAATGGGTCAAGTCTCTACTCCTTCCACCCGAGGTCATGGGGTGCTAAACATCTATTCATCCTCTAATCGATGTGATTTTTCTCCAAATGACCCCCTTCACTAGATGTACCCATCTCGAAGGAAAGCTATAGTGAAATTGGGGCTCATCTCTGTGCTTATCATAAAGCCTAATGTTGGATGATCCTCCTCACACTTTTCTTAAACAAAAGGTTTTTTTTTTTTTCTTGTTCTTTTCTTTTCCACAAGAAAAATTGTATCAAAATGAAGATAGTAAGAAATTACAGCTTAATAGGGAAGAAACCTTTAAGGATTCAATTGAAACATGAATGACATCAGCAAGAAATACACGTTACACTAGTGCTTCAAATTCCAAATTTGAAGGTTGGATCGTACACCTACTGGATAGATCTAGATTGCTGATCAGGCTAGATCGGACCGTTTCTCTATTGTGAAAACTAGGGGCAAAAAAATTTGAATAATAAGTTTAAATTTGAAAAATAAAATAATGAAAAAAAAATTGTAAAGAAGAAATGGGTGGGAGCTTGTCGATTCGAATCATCCAGTTCCTTGAAAAACTCACCTGGTTCTCTAACAAGACCAGGTGAGTCTATCAAATTCAGATTGATTCCCTTTTTTTACTTGGAATCAAGTCGGTCCTTACCGACTCTTGATCTGGATTGGCGAATTTTGAAACACTTGTTGGCAATAAAACTTATCAAAACAGTTCATATCAAAGCATGTTTGTATCAAGGACCATTATGTGTAGCTTCCCCCTTCCGAATAAAGCAATGAAATCCAAATAGAAGATAAACCAGTTGTACTGGAGGTCAAATTCAAACATCATTTTGTCTATGATAAAGAAATTTGAACCACCCTTAGGGAGAGCAAAATAACACAATAGCCAAGTCTAGGACCATAAGAGTGCCTGAAATCAAGGAGTTGTTGGGTGTAGAATTGCTAGTAGACAAGAGGAGAGCAAAACTCAAGGCATGGCCGCCTGCAATTCTAAAGCAGTTACATGACCATTGGAGGCATAAATCTCAGTGCTAGAGCTGGCCCAGAATTTGTTCTTGTGCTCCCACAATTGTTCGCTGGAGTTTACAATCGTACAAAGTAATTTATGCATCAATTCCTTCAACATTAATTTATACATGTTTATTTATAACAGTACTTAGTTAAACTAGAAGCATAAAGTCAACACTTTTAGTTTCCCCATGTGATATGCTTTTTTGCCGTTCTCCATCAATAAAAAAACATTTTTACCTAGAAAGAGTATTTTACCTTGCCAAAAAATTGGACTATAGGAAGGTAATCTTATTGAGCACAAATATCTCTATCCACATGACCTGGATGTGATGCTTCCAATAGAAACTTTGTAAAAGTTTTACTTGAATTTTCTATCATATAAGAACTAATTCAAATCAGCATTGAACATGACCAAATGACGAAACTAGCTAAATGTATATACAAATTCTAAAAGGAAAAAGTTTATATAAGATTGTAACCTTAAAATGTAGAAGTACAGATGCACCTCAAAAAATCCATCGGAGAATGTTGTTTCGATGTTGAAAACCCTCTAATTGATTATCTCGACATCGAGATGTATGAATATATAAAAAAAAAAAACTGTTCTTAGTCCTAAAAATAGTGCATCTTGCAACACATTATCTACACCATCCATTTTCAAGATTTTCATTTGTTTATAGATGTACTTGATTTTAACCATTTTTGGATTTTAAAATTTTATAACTAGATATGAAAATAGATTTTCAGATAATCCTAATAATTTTTTACACCAAAATTCCATGTTATAATAAAATTTGGAGGTGCACCTTAATTGGATTGTTTAAGGTTGCAACCTTGTAGAAACCACACCCATTCTAAAATCATGTCTAATTCCGACAATACTCAACTAAAACCATGAAAATAACTTCAGCATTAAGTTCCTATTTTGAATAACTCCGTTAAAAACTCTGAATATATGTCTATCCGGCTCTTCAACAACTCCAAAAGCATGTGATTCATTCATTTTTTTGAAGGGTAGCATATATTTTGTTATAGTAGCAAACATAAGGGAACCTTTTGAAGTTCTTGTGAATTGAAAGTGTTATGGGCATTCCTCAAAAAGAAGCTTATTTTTGCTAACTTTTACTAATATTATGGTTGTATTTATGAGCTTTGGAAATATGGTTTCTCACTTCCAAAGAAGAAACCACGTATTCTCTCAAAACATTTGACTATTATCGATTCAGGAACCTATCAAACAATCAGCTGACAGGTCCCATACCACAAAGTTTAGCTGATCTGACAAAACTAAAGTCATTGTAAGTATGCATCTAATCTTGCAAAAGTCTGGAAAAAGGGAAAGGAAACACCAATCTGATTTTCATGGACATGAATATGGTTCTATCTACAGGGATTTGTCAAGAAACAATTTAACTGGGTTGGTTCCAATCGCATTAATAGAGAAAAGAAACAGTGGAGCACTTCTATTAAGGTTAGTTTGATGTTATAAGTATATTTTTATCTTCCTCCCTAGGAAAATCGCTTCAACTGATTCCATGTTGGTTTTGGAACTTGATGTGTGCAGCATTTTTCAGAATCCCAACCTTTTAACCCCCAACCCCTCCGAACCGACTCAAAAAAAGAAGACCGAGAAGGCTGTGGTTATTATGGCGATATCTTTGAGTGCAACAACGATCTTGCTCTTTGCTTTTGCTTTTGGTCTGATAATGAAGAGAAAGAAAATAATTAGTGAGCTTCAGTTTACTCAACAAAATCTAGTTCATCTTATATATCAACGAATCTACAATATATTCTTTCACATATGCCACTCCTTGTCGCAATTTTCTCCAAAAACCAAAGAAGACCAACATCCATGCAATCAACCTCCTAAGAGCACTTCTATGCAAAAATTCAGCACTTATTTCCTCAAATCATGCTTTAAACTTATCAAGACACCCAAATATTTTAAAGAACAAGCATCAGTCCTCAAGATGCATTTAATATTAACCTTTTTCATTTTTTATGCTTTTTACGACTTCCTTTAAAATACGAGAAATGAGTGAGTTTTCCTTTGAAAAATATTTCTTTTGTTGCATATTACTTTCATGCTTATGCTAAAATTATTATACCATTTTAAGTTTATGAGCAATCCATGTTGAGGAAGAAGCATTGTGTTTGCAAACAATTTTGAAAAATGCACACCTGTGGAGGTTCTAGGGCTCGAGACGGTCATATTAGAAATACTATTGACATAGGCATACAGTGAGAATCATTTTTATTAATTTGAGGCACTACCCTTATATATACCTATGGTAACAAGCAAAGACACCTCCATTTGCATGGGACTAGTTTTAGCAGAAATATAAAGCCAAAATGAATCAGTGTCATAGATAATGGAAAATAGTAATACAGCACTCATATTAGTATACTCCCAAAAGTAAACATGTAGGTCCATGAGCAAGAGCATGTTCATTAGCAACGTTTACCACTTTGAATTTGTGGTCCATGTGAGCAAGTTTAGTCTGTTAGTCTATTAGGAAGTAGAAATTGAAGTTTATATCATTGAACTCCCAAAGGGAGTGACAGTCAATTTCATCATCTTGTGAAGTAAAGCATTCATGTAAATTCAATTAGTGCAGCAATAAGCAAAATCTATTGATGTCAGAGCAGTCGAGTCAACATTAAAATCATAGGATCTCATATATTCTCTTCATATGTGGTTGAAATGGTATAGTATCCATCATTCCCATTGGATTTTATAGCACGCATGCTACTGCTGCGATTGTCATTCCATACTTGTGAAGGGTTGTGATAGAGAAGGAATGGTTATTATTTTGATGTTGGGAGTACAGTTGCTGCTTTTGATTGAACAATCCACTTGAGAGCCACCTAGGAAGAAGAATAAGCGGTGGGATACCTTTTTATATTTAGAACAACACTAAAGTCCCCAAGGCAATGCTTATTTGTGCAACAAGGTAACTGAACCATGAGTGAAACCAGCATAGTAGTTCAGGTAAATCAAGAATTGATTGTATCCTTACATCCTGAAAACAAACCATGGTTCTACCAGAGTCTTGGAAATGAACCATGCAAAACCAGAATTCCTTGTCACTTGATAGGCATATGCAACTGGTTAATTCTTATTCCATGAACCAACCATGGATGTTTTTCTTTTTTGTGATAATTAACATAACATTAGTGGAAAAAAGTACACGATGTTGTAATCGACAGTATATACCAAATGAGAAATCAGCCACAAGAGAGATAGAGAGAAAAGATAGATGAAGAAGCAAGGGATACGAGAATAATAACAAGACTGAGGGGGGAGTGTTAAGGACTAAAGATCCTGAAAATGTAGAATACCAAACACATCGGTAGTTATAATTAGTAAAATAGGCTCATTGGTTGCGTTATACTACCACCATATTTGTTCCTAACAACTAAAATCCATTTCAAAATGACTGGTTCTCTAGGAGATATCCATAGAGCAATACAACAAGTTATTTGTCATAACAATTCCAGGTTCTCCCAACTTCTGCTATCAATCCAAACTAGGTATTGGACGACCATATGATCAAGTTACTGACTTGGTATTGGATGACCGTATGATCAAGTTTCAAAATTCTTGGAAACCATAAAACAAAGTTGAAATGTTTTGGTAAATATTTTGGACAATCTATATTTGTTTAGTTCATTGCTGATGGCCCTTATAAATAGTTTACCACTAGCCAGCTGCTACTAAGTGTTTGATTCAGTTTATGTTGACCTAAACCTGATTCCTTCCTACAGCCTCCAAATCATTAGTGCAAAATTTCGAACTTGCTCTCATGTAAGACTTGTATATCAAAGCTTCTTGCTTCCATATAATATCTTATGTCAACTGAGGAGTTCCAGTAGTTGATATGACTGGTCGGCCTTGGATTTTTCCTTGTCCCCCATGCAGGTCTCGCACGAGAGGGAAGAAAGACCCTTTTCTTAAAACCGCTTTCGAGCCCTCCCTCTCGTTTCTAGAGAGAGGAAGAGAAGAGGGATCGCGTGTGTGGTCTGCGCCCCTCTTTCAAGCTCACATGCGTGTGCACGTGTGGATAACTCCTATACCCGCTAGGATAAGGGTTGGACGGTGCGGTGCGTGCGGTTTGAACCAACGAAAGAATGAGTGCGACATAAGGCTTAGATGCCTAGTAGGGATCAGGACACACCGGGCTCGAAGCCCTCTTAGATCCGTGAGAAAGCCCCTTGGCCATGTAGGCTCGGTCTGGCTTCGGTTCACTTGGGAACTTTGCACAGTGTAGGTACCCACTTGATAAAATGGCTTAGAATACCGTTCCTTTCGCTCACCCTTTCTAGTGTGGTTTTAGAGGGATTTTTGCGGGACTTTTAAGAGATAAGAATAGGAGAGGAAAGAAATAGAATAGAGGGATAAAATAGAATAGAGAAGGGTAGAGTACAGAGATAGGAGAGAGGGAATCACCCAAGAATTGGGCAGTCTTCCAACGTCACCTCCCCAAGGAGGTATTTACCGAAAGACAAAGAAAGTATCGGGCTCAGGGCATACCCTAGAGGATTCACAAGAGACTATACAGGCCCGATAAGTCTTACCAAGATGAATCTTGAAAGAGCCCCCTAGAGATCGATAGAACGAGAGATAGGAGAGGAAGAGAAGAGAAAAGAAGAAGAGGGGGACGTAAGAAGAAGAGAAGAAAAGGAGAAGAAGAAAGAAGAAGAAGAAGAGAGAAGAAGCCTCTCATACCTCCGACTAACCGTATGTCTCACGCCCCTGGATTAAGGACTTATGGCTTGTACCCGTTTTGAGGCTTTGAGAGGGGAGATGAAGGAGAGAGAAATAGAGGTGAGGGTATGGGATAAAGAAGGAGAATCGACTCTCTTTAATACCTTGAACTGGCCTTGATTCGGATGCCCCTGGATTGATGACTTATGGCTTGTAAGGATTTTAGGAGAGAGAGAGAGAATGAGATGAAGGAGAGGGTGTAGAGCAGTAGAAGAGAAAGGACGAAGAAGAAAAGTAATGAAAGAAAAGGAGTAAGAGTATGAGAGAGAGAAGAAGGGAAGAAGAAAAGATGAGGGCAAGAGAGAGGAGGAGAGAGTGTGTGATGAGACCGTGGTGTGAGTGAGTGTGTGCTGAGAGTGAGGTATGAGTGAGTGTGTGATGGAAGTGAGGTGTGAGTGAGAGTTAAATGTGAGTGAGAGAGAGAGCGGAAGATGAGGGTAAAAGAAGAGAGAGAGAGGGATGTGAGCCTACGGCTAGCCTGTGGGCTTAAGGGAGAGAGAGGGAGTGAGATGAGAGGGAGGTGAGATGGAAGAGAGGGAGAGAAAGAAAGCAAGGCAGCGGCTAGCCCGCTCCCCTTTGAGATAGAGAGATGAGAGAATGAGAGGGGGTAAGGAAGGAGAGAAAGAGAGGGAGAAAGGGAGTGGAGCAGCGGCTAGCCCGCTTCCCTTTGAGGGAGTGTGAGATGAGAGAGTGCGGAAGGGGAAAGAAGAGAGAAAAAAGAGGAGAAAGAGAGCGGGGGCAGTGGCTAACCCGCTGCCTTTTTGTGTGAGAGAGAGATGAGAGAGTGAGGGGGTGAGAGAGAGATGAGAGAGTGAGGGGGTGAGAGAGAAGAGAGAGAGACTATGGGGCAGCAGCTAAGCCGCTGTCCTGACTTGAGAGAGAGAGAGAGAGAGATGAAAGTATGGGGGAGAAGGGGAGAGAGTGGAGAGTGGGGCAGTGGCTAGCCTGCTGTCCCGACTTGAGAGGAAGAGACGTGAAAGAGGGAAGAAGAAGAAGAAGAAGAAAAAGAAGGAAGAAAAAGAAAGAAGAAAGAATAGAGAAGAAGAAAGAAGAAGAAGAAAAAGAAGAAAAAGAAAGAAGGAGAAAAGAAGAGAGAGAAAGAGTTGGACCCTTGGGATCCTAAATGGGCGAGATAAGGCTCAAGCCCACCGGTTGAATGTGCTTCCCGAGGTCCCTTGAAGATGAAGGTGCCTGAGAGAAGGACTTGGACCCTTGGAAGAAGGCTAGGTTTAAGGTTGGGTTGGGACCTAGGCTAAGTGTACGGTTAGGCTAAATTGGGCTTGATGGGCTACGGTGTATGGTTAGTTTGGTTTAAGCAGGTTATATAGTAATTGCCCAAAACATGGATGGATGAAGAAAACTAAATAAAATTGCTAGAAAATAAATATTTTTGTAATAAAAAGTGAAATTCGTTTTTGGGCAAAAATGACCTATTTGCTCCTCACAACTTTCATCGAAATGCCTAAATGGTCCCCAAAAAAGGGCCTCATGATTTGCTTGGTTATTCGGGGATCTTTTGGGCGCCATCTGATGAGATTTCAGGCGATCAACCATAAGAAAAATGATCTTCATGCCGAGGGGATCGTTTTAGTATGCATTGTTAAGGTTGAGTTGGAGTTTTGAGAGTGTTCTCAAAATCCGGCCAAATCCATAAACTTGCGATCTTGCTCGTTTTTCATCGTTTTGGGCTATTTTCTTCATTATAAATCGAAGGGGAGTTTGTTGCAATCATTTTGCAATAAAAATCTCTTCGTTTGGATGTCGAATGATCACTTTCTAAATTAGGGAGATGGCTAGAAAATGGGATTTTGGCCACTGGAAAATGCCTCCTTTTGTAAGCCTTAATAGAACACCTTCCTGACTTCTATTTTGAGCAAATGAGTACTCAAATAGAAGTCCTCTGAACTACGGTCGCAACCGACCTGGCCTTGAGGCCGTAGGATTCTGGAATCTCAAGATATAAGCCTTGGAGCGAGGAGATATGCGGCTGTAAATTTCTGCATTTTCATGGTTTTTGGGGACCTTCTCTCTAGGATATCTCCCTAGCAGTGATGTCCCACGGCGCGTGCCACCCACCAAATCGTAGGGTTCTGTGAGGGGAGCAACATATTCAAATTTGGGATTTATTTGTTTCAAGACAAGGGAATCCGAGCCTTCAAAGTTTCTCGTTTTTAGAAAAACGTAGTTACTATAAATAGTAACTGGTTCAAATAGATGAAGTGAATAGTAAAACATTTACTATTTTAGGAAAGTATGACCTATCGGAATGAGCTAAAATTTGGCGTAAAAGCTGTTCTCGGCCTCCCAAATCCCAATAGTCCCATAGTCATTGGCGATATCTAGAGTAGAGTTCCAGCTATGGTGTACTGTATCATGCTAGAAATTTACCTTTTTTAGCAAGTATGACTTAGTAATGTCAGATTGGGCTAAAACTTGGCACGGTGATTATTCTCGAGCTTCTGAATCTATTGGTGGTGGTCCCATAGTCATTGGAGGTTTTTAGAGTAGAGTTCTAGCTATGGTGCACTGTAGCATGATAGGAGCTTAGCCTAAAAACGGATTTTGTACATGTTTCCTCCATTTAGATCCGAATTGACTGAATCTTGGAGGGGATCATTAGATCATCATAGGGGACCCATATGATCAATTTGGGAGTGAAATGATGTATATATCATGGCTTTCAAGAATAAGGCTTATTTCTTCAAGGTTTCCGTAGTCTACAGGTGTTTTTAGTACCTGTGGGTCTAGGTTACCACTGGCTTCTCCATTATTCGCATCGGGGATACAAGCTTGTCAAAAATTCCCTACAACAATGACTGCTTAAGTGCCAATTACTTCCTCTTTCTCTTTTGATGAGTAACATTCATATTTGCATTCAGAACTGCAAATTTCCTTCTGTTGGATGAATAATGCATATACAAAGGTTATACTCATCTTTACATAGAGTACATTGAAAGTAGGGCACCTCATCCTCAAAGATTATGTACGGTTGGGATTCAATGAGAATGTAACTCTGATGAAGTAAACAAGAACTGATTCAAAATGCTTATGTCTCTAGAAGTCTGTACCTGGTTGTCTTCTCCAAAAGACTCTAGTAACCTTTCAGAATAAGGTTTTGTTTCCAGTTTTAGAAATTTCCTAGAAACTGACTTCACCATTTCTCATAAAGAACAAGAAACCAGAAAGGTCAGTTGGGTCTTTCTCCAATAATAAGCACTTAAACAGTATGACATGACCAAAATCAGGCTTAAAATTTCAAAGAAACAATCCCCATTTATGGGACAGAAAACTCACCATAGCTGCTTATGAAGTCAAATTAGTGACATTTATTAGAGATTATCTTTTAAAACATAGAACAAATCAATCAGTACAGGGAACCATTTTTTCAAAATCCAATTTAACTGCACTAACTTCTCAGACCTTTGATCTAGATGAGCCAAAGTTAAGGCTTCAGGTTTTGAACCTCTTTTAGTGTTGCACCCATGTCCTCGCACAAACTTGACTTCCAAGATAAATAAAAGGTACCATTAGCATTTAGAGATATTAACTTTTATATTCTTTCTTAAGATGAACAGTAGTTTGTTATCTCAAAAACCAGTAATATAATCATTTCTAAAATCAGTGAAAATTTTAAACTGCTGGGGAAACTGACTAGGATTGCATAACTAAGTAGACCATGAAGAAGAATATGACTAAATATCTCATACAGAATTTCTAGAATAATGGATTATATATGCACGTGCACACGCACATACACACACTCAAATGGAATTGCCTATCTATATCGATGTTGTGGCATAGATTGTCTTACTCTCCACTAATTGCATCAGGAACAAAGATCTTAAGCATGAGAAAAAGAAAAGGTTCGTCCAAATCAGATGGACCTCAAGCACTTACACACTCAGAGATTGTTAAAATAACCAACAACTATGAAAAGGTGATTGGTAAGGGTGGATATGGAATTGTTTTCTTTGGAGTCCTAGAAAATGGCCGTGAAGTTGCTGTCAAGATATTGTCCAAAGAATCACAACAAGGAATCAAAGAATTCTCTGCAGAGGTTTGTATGAAAAAGAAACTACTCTATTTTGAAATGCATTTATTCTTACTTGTAATGAGGATAAATAATTGACCTTTGGAAAAGCAGGTTAAATTGTTGATGAGAGTTCATCACAGGTATTTGGCCTCCTTGATAGGATTCTCTGAGGAAGGAAAAGATAAGATTCTTGTCTTTGAATATATGTCTAAAGGAAATCTGAATGAGATCCTGTCAGGTATGACTATCAAATTGCCTTGTTTCATTTTATCTCATTGTAAGTTCTCTCTTATCTGTCTTTTACTTTTGTAGCATGACTAGCAGTGAGACATATGTTTCCTTTTATAACTCCCCCAATCCCCAGGACAAGTTTGTTGTTTTACTTTTGTAGCATGATGAGCAATGATCCAGACGTTACCTCTATAATATCCCCAATCCCCAGGACAAGTCTATTGTTAGGAGATAATACCAGACTTGGTTTTGAGATCAGTACATCTCTCAATGGATGTTCTCCTGTGAGTTCATTGGCCAATATTCACTGGTCGATACATACTCCTGCTTGATTTCAAAGGCGTGTTACAGATAGTTCTCTCGTGAAATCATCTCCCAATTGATCCATGTTCTCTTGTAACTTTGGATCTGAAGATATATACAAGGCCCATCTATCATCACAGACGAATATAGGTAGCTCATAAGCAATAGTTGATGTGCACTTAAACGAAGACAAGTTAGCTTTTTTGTAAAGGCTTAGTATCAATGTTGGATGTGAGTAATTTATGCAACCATTTTGAAGTTTTTGCAGAACATAAAAAATTTTAAACTTCATGACTGGTACAAAACAAGTAGATCTATAAATATATGAAAATCTTGAAAATGGACGATCCAGATGATGTGCTGCAAGATGTACTATTCTTAGGACTAAAATATATATTTTTGCTCCATATTTATGCATCTCGCTGTCAAGATGATCAATTAGATGCTTCTCCAACATCAAAACAATCTTTTTCGAAAGATTTTAGAGGTGCACCTTAATTCTACATTTTAAGATGTCAACCTTATATAAAATTTTCTCATAGATAAATATGACTACGAATAAACATAAATATGCGCATATGTACTTATGTATATACATTTATACATGCATAAATACACACATATACACATACAAACATAAATGTACATACGTATGCCTAATTGTATACATTCGTGCCTAAAATTACCTCTGGTATATATTCAGAATCAATATTGGAAGTGCCTATGTTTCATAGCTCTTGCACCATCATCTAGGGTTCCACACGCTCTTCCATACAGCAATTGGGGTGCATACCTCATGCAAAATGACTTAGTTTTGGAGTCACATAATTCTCTTTAGACTCCCAATGATAAGTCAGTTATGTATCTGAAAAAAGAAAAACATTTCTTAGTGTAATTTTCAGCAGTTCTACTACACTACTCATATTTCCCACTATCAAAACCATGCGGAGAAATGAAAGATCTGCATTTCAGGTTGAAGCATAAATTTTAGTTGTTAAAAAGTTCATAGAATACGATGATGAAAAAGACTTTGAATTTTGTGCTACTTGATGCAGACAATAGTAGCAACTCAGAAGTATTAAACTGGGAACAACGAATTCAAATAGCTTTGAGTGCTACACAAGGTAGCCATTAAAATGACTTTTAGTTGTTTCGTTGTTCTAGTCCGATTTCAATTACTTACCAAGTACTTTGGTTTGTAGGATTGGAGTATCTTCATTATGGATGCAAACCGCCAATTGTTCACAGAGATGTCAAGACTTCCAATATCCTTTTAAATGAGAAACTAGAAGCCAAAGTAGCAGATTTCGGGTCGGCCAGATTTGGGCTGACTGATGGAGATTCTCACATAACAACTACAGTTGCAGGCACCCAGGGATATGTGGATCCTGAGTATGTTGTATACAAATGGAGGAACTCCAAATAATACAACAGCCTCACCATGTTTACTATTCTTGACTCTATTGATTTATTCTTTATTCTCTGTTTTTATCCATTCCCCTGCTTCGATCCTGCAACCTAAGAAGAGGAATTGCATGTGCTTTAATTTTCCTGTCAAATATACAAGTTTTGGCCTCACCCTATTTATCGTAACCAACAATAAAGAAGACACTTTACTTATTTTTTTTCTCATCAACTTCGTCATGTATCCTAGGAAAGATATGACCAGGCTTCTCTATGTAAGCCCTTCCATACTCTAGCCATCCTTACTTTTTTATCTGTGAACAAAAGAAATTGCTTTGACCTAATATGGTAGAAAGAAGGAACCTAAAACTTTTGGTGTATTTTTTGAGCCTCTCTAGCAAAACAAAACCGTGTTGGAAAGTATGCTACAATTCCTTTTATCCCATCCATTCCATCTAGAAGCTACAAGGGCCTAATGCTCTCCTATAATTCAAGTAACCTTGTTTATGTGTATGAACAAGGGAACTGGGACAGGAACTATGGACATATAGAAACCATATTTGCTAACTTCTTAGATTATATTTTTATCTATGTTTTCAGAAGACCTGAAGAACTTTCCCCTAATATTCTGAAACCATGAAGAGCTTTTCTTCAATACCACCCTGAACAAAGATGACAAATTTTGCTATCAGATACGAGCAATATACAGTTTCCAGTTGCTTGTTTGGGTGACGGTTTGGGCTATTTTTTCTGTCCCATTCATTTATGTCATACAAGCAAAAGACCAACAAATAGTAGCCAACAATGAAAAAAGATGTCTACAAGGCCAATAGTTTTTCTGGATATCTAGACTCTTTTGATATTACATGAACTTAAACGGTAGGTTTTTATTGCTCAATATGTGAAATGCAAGCTAAACTGACTCCATTAATTGCAGGTATCAACCCACAAGCTCAACGAGAAGAGTGATGTCTATAGCTTTGGCATAGTTCTTCTAGAAATTATCTCAGGTCAACCAGCAATAATTAAAGAGGAAGAAACAATTCATATAGTACAGTGGGTAACTCCTAGGTTTGTAAGAGGGAAAATTGAGAATGTGATCTATCCAAGGTTGCATGGCAAGTATGACATTAATTCTGCCTGGAAAGCTGCAGAGATTGCACTGGCATGTACGCCACAGGCTGCCATAAAGAGGCCCACCATGAGTGATGTTGTGAGTGAACTAAGGGGATGCCTAAAGCTAGCGCACTCCCATCTCAAGAGGAGAAACTTAAGAACGGAATCCTTCACAGCAAGTACTACGCTTCCATCAAACATCCTGGAATCGGAAACCATGTTTGACCCTTCGGCAAGGTAGTCAGCATTGCGATTTTAGGCATCAGACCATTGAACTCTTTATGGGACACGGAAGTATGGGAAGTATGTCAGGCAGCTACTTATATATTCTTTAATGTTGAAACTTAAACACATGTCCACACTTATATACTTTTATTTGACATTTATTCATCATTGTCTTTCAGTCAGCATTTCTTACAAAAGTGCCTTATATTTATCATACAAATTTAAAGTTCATGTGGTAGAACAGATTTTATACTTTTGTCTACAACTTGAATCCTTCTACTTGCATTCTTTTTTGGCCCAATTTTTTAAATTTTAAATTTTTTAGCCATATGGGCGTTATGCAAGAAGTTTGAATGTAGGGAGTTTCATAAAAAAAATTCCCATAAGAGATGAAATATTTACATTTCCAATTATTCCAACCCATGATCATGTGTCTTTTAATGCGTATTTTGAAAATAAATTCAAAGACATGGGTAGAGAATGCTAAGTAGTTGATCTCTCATGGCTATTTGGATAAATTTCCCTTAAATATATTAAAAACAACTTATCCTTGGCTGGTTACTAAACCCTGGATTATTTGAATACAGGTCGCTACCACTACACTCCACCATTTAGCTTTATTTGAATATGATGAGATATTATATTATATATTTATGAGACTATGAGACCCTCCGACACCATGTGAGACTTGCGTAAATGGGTGTAGGAATTGGATGAATGGGTTTATTGATAACCTTTCTAGATATCTGTGTCAAAATTTAATGTTGATCCTTTGGGATCCTACTCACATTGGTGTAAGAGGGTCTCGTAATATCATTACTCATATAATATATATATCATTATCTTCTTCAAAGCAAAACATCAAGAAAATCTTACATGTGGGTTTAAATCATGATGTCTTGGCTCTTGTGATGCCTACCACTACCTTCCACCACTCCGCCACTTAATGCATGTATAAAGAATAGGAAATTATTTATTTATCTTGCTCACTAGTATAGACATGTCTAAGAAGTATTGGCTTTTTGGTCTCCTATACTAGACACCCAGATATGATAACTGACAACTTATCCCGATAGAGGTTTAGAAGTGCTTGGGAGAGATTGGTATTGATTGACCGACTAAATTGCTAAATAATGTGTTGAGAACAAGGAAATTAAATGAAGGAAAAGTGAGAGAAGTATTTTAGAAAGGTTGCTAAAAAGAGGGGGGAGGAGATTCATGAGTGAGGAAGAAAGAGAAAGAGAGCTTTTCCAGGATTTAGATATTGGGGTGATTAAAAAAAAAAGATAAATGCTATAATTTAGATAATGGAAAATGTAAGGAGGAGGTTAAACATCCGTTTTTTTTTTTTAACTTGGGGGTTGCTATGGGATTTTTATAGGACCAAGAGGTTTTTTGGGATAATGATTTTAGAGATGGCGTATATGTAATTTTGTCTTCTTCTTCTTCTTTTTTTCTTTTTTCTTTTTTTTTTTTAAAAAAAAGACCGAGTTGGACTCAAGCGAGTTACTTGGACTCACCTTGGCCAAGCCGAGTCTCGAAACACTAGTCCATCATGGATGCTTTTTTTTGGGGTAAGTCAGTGGGGGAGAAAGCCCCCTACCCGATTTTTCATTAAAAGATGTAAAAAGAAGAACAACTAACGTACAACCCTATAATAGGGCATATGCGTCAGAACATGTAGTAAAAGAAGAAAAAGAAAATATGGTGGTCTATGGTGCCACACAATAGCACCAGGTCCATCATGGATGCTAGTTCGGGCTTAATGCACATCCAAAGATCCTCAAATGCACTGCTTGGAACCATAATTAGCAAGTTGGGGATAAATCGGTTTTATTTCAAAAATTTGGAGGTAAAAATCGGGTAAAAAATAAGGTAAGTTATAGAATCGTGAATATTCTGGAGTTGCCTTAAAAAAATGGAGTAAAAAAATCAGGTATGTAAAGATGACATAATATAGGATTATGATTTGCAGTTATTGTATAGATACATTGAAGCCATTCAACAATAATTTTATGATCTGACCTAGTATCATTAGAGAAATGCTTGACAATTCATTGCTTTAATCTTTTAATAAATACAACAACAATGCATATTTTGTTGTCACAAAAAACAATAATAGCAATCACAAGAAATACATTAGTAAATAACAAGAACTGTAAACCAAGGTATAGGTGTACAAAGAAAAAAAAAAAAACAACCCCAATATATAAATGTATTTTTTTTTTTTTTTTTTGAGTGATTAAGTGGGGAGAGGGCCCCTACCCTTGGTAGGAATTGAGCCTAGGACGTAGCATTGCAAATCATCAAGCGCTAACTAATTAAGTCAGGGCTCTTTACCTAAATGCAATTAATTAATACAAAACACAAAGACTTAAATATGTAAAATAGTGGTCCATCCAAAATGTTATATTATATACGTCAATGAAATAAAAAATAAAAAATAAAAAATAAAAAATAAAAAATAAAAAATAAAAAATAAAAATAAAAAATAAAAAATAAAAAATAAAAAATAAAAAATAAAAATAAAAATAAAAATAAAAAATAAAAAATAAAAAATAAAAAATAAAAAATAAAAAATAAAATATGAAATTAATGAAACTTCTCTATGCGTAAAGAAAACAACAAAATGCTTAAGGGCACGTTTGGTTGGTGCATAAATACTTTCCCGTAAAAACTATTTACATATGTAAACACTTTGCAAGAAAAGTTTATGCAAACTTTCTTTTCTCGATGTTTGTTAACAATTTTAAAAACCATTGTGCAATGAATTTCATATGTTTGGCAATTTTTTTGGTATTTAAATATATTTTATAAATATGTTAAATATATATGAGCATTATTAAAATATTATAACTAAAAAAATATAGTCATGTTATTTAAATATTATTAAAATATTATACATTAAATGTTATTTAAATACTGGGAGGAGCGAAATAGAAAAATCTTCAAATTAACGTAACAAGAAGAGAGCAGGTTGTCATTCGGATTACTTCACATGTAAATGCCATTGCAGATGAATACTGAAACAAGAATTCACAGGCCTCGAGATGGAGATGGTTCAGAGGAAGGCAATGGAGGCCTCTTTGGCCAAAGATTTGTCCGAACTCAATGGCACAATTGAGTCGGAGACTAGAGTGATGTCAGAGGAGACTCAAGCAGTTGCAGAGATAAAGGAGCATATCCAGGGCACCGAGACTTCTCCTGCAGTGTACAACGCAGAGATCAATAAAATGAGTGATCGTTTCTGAACATGTCATTTTCTTTTACTAGTACTTGCAAAAGTTTTTAACTGATGAATGAAGCGCTTCTTTCTTTTGACTTTGCCACATGATTTCATTCTCTTCTTACTTTCACTGCACCTCATGTGATCTCTCTTCTGAACGCCTCTCAACACTTTTATTGTTTCCAAGAGGCTAATACCCTAGGCCTTGACTAGCCCCATGGTGGGCTGCTGCAACTTGAATAGCTTCGAAATGGGGAGTCGTTGATTTTTCTCCTCTTAATGTCTGATTGGCCAAGGGCTCAAAGTTCATTTTCCTCATGATTTGGTGAGCCTGGTCACTATAGGCAGTCCAATCAGGAAGGGCCTCGGCCTCCATTAGTGGCGTGTTTACTTTGAAGGGACAATGGTTTGAGAAAGGAACATCCTCTATACTTATAGCAACCAGATATTGAAAAACGTTTCGCGGCAGTTGTCGCGCCGCTTCGGCTTTTAAGAGCGCAATGAGGATATGCAGGACTTTCTGATGGTCCGGCGTATAGGTGATCCTTGGAACCTTTCTTCCTCCTTGAACAGGTTCACTAACGTCCTCTCAACATCATCAACATCTTCAAGAGACAAGGACACAGTCTTGCTTGTAGACTCGTTACCTTCATCATTCGACTTTTGAGGTGCTACGAGATCTATGAAGTAATATTTAGCATCCGCATAGTGAATTTCGGCCATAGGGAACGATCTTTTGTTAGCATAGACCGTATGCTATTTCTCGTCTCGGCTATATTTGAAGCATCCATGCAATGTTGATGGAACCACCCCCTGGGCCGACCGAGGAGGATATTGTAAGAAGTGTCAGTGTCGATTACATGAAATTGGGCGTAATCGTTCAGCTCACCGATCTTAAAACGAAGGCATATTCTGCCAGCTGGCTTCTCTCCTAATTGGTTGAACCCTTGAACTGTGATGTGGGTCGAGGTAAGATCTTCAGACCCCAACCCTAATCGAGTAAGGGTCCTCCTTGGAATAAGGTTGACTTCCGACTCTCCATCTAACATAATTCGGTTGATGGGGCATGCATGTAATTCGCTAGTAACAAAGAGAGGGCGATTATGAATCTTTTCCCTTAACTGCATATCGTCTTCTGAAAAGGTGATTGGCATACATCCTTATAAAATAGCACCGCAATAGGTTCAACTTCGGTTTCGTACACTTCTGGGTAAGATAAAGCTTGAACCAGAGCCATCCGGTAATCCTTCGAGAGCATGAGGGCATCATAGCCACTGAGAAGAGTCGAAAGCTTCCATAGATTCCCTGTCACATCATATTTCATCTTGTCTTGATCATGGCCTTGTGCCCCTGATCCTGCCACTGGTTTGGGTGGCATGTTGGGTTGAGGAGCAAGTTTGGGTAGAAGAGGTTTATTTTGGCCAGCTGGCTGACTTGATTGTACAACGGCCATGGGTTGAGTGATGAATGTTTTGGAAGAGACTGGGTGCATGGGATAAAAGGGCTCTCAGGAAATTGGAGAATAGGAGGATTGTTTAAGGTAGTGAGATTAGGAAGGAGCCCAGGGAATTGTAGGATAGGCAGACTAGACTTTGGATTAAGGGGCAGTGGCGGACTGGGGAACTTCAAAGTTCTTGCTTCTACAGTGGAGGCTGCAACATCTTCCATGATCTGAGATTTATCTGCCCTGAGGTGGGTATTGCTCCTTAAATTTGCACCATATGGCAAGCTCCCTGAGAATAGGAGTCTTGCCCATTCGACTCTCTTTGTCTCTGGTCCAAGTCAAGCTCAGAGGGCCACTAGGATTTCTTTAGCTTCGAATTTTTATGCTTCCTTGAAGAAGGAGGCTCTGCCTTGGCTTTAGCAGCCAGGGCATCAGCAACTGTTAGGAATCATGCTGCCTCTGCGAGATTCTTTCTCAATCATTTCTGCTGCGTCCTGCTTATATTGGA